CGTTCGAGTACCATACATCGGAGCGGATTGAGGAGTAATGTTATGGTTCGAGTACCATACACCGGAGCGGATTGGGGAGTGATGTTATGGTTAGGGTACCATACACCGGGGCATAATGAGAAGAGATGTCATGGAATGAGCACCATGGTTCGTAGTGAATGAGGTTGTGGTTCTCCGGTTATCCGGTCATGAGTAAGTTCGAAGAGGCTTCCCTTGAGAGGGAGATCGAGAGCCCCTCAGAGTATTTTAGTAAGGAGTCAGTGAGAAAGGGAGAATTTCGATCTGAGTTGAGCAATCAGTCGATAAAGGAGATGTCACCTCCTATGATCTGGGAGGTACTAATTATGTTCGTGCGAAAAATATGAGAAGCATGATGTTTTAGTTTTGGGTTTAGGGGTAAACCCTAAAGGACGTCATTGATAATGATTTCCCACCAGAGTATCAGGTAGCATGTGTGCCGCGAGGAAGTGATTTATCATGAGCAGATAGTCAGTTGGGACTGAGATAGTCGAGGACCCCACTACACCTATTTGAGTATAGTAGGATGTATTGTAGTGGTATCAGTAGGGAGTTCAGTCGAGTTTAGCGGTGCAGAGAGTTTTCTATCCATGGGGTGTTGAATATGGGAGTGGGTCCCTGTTCTTGGGATGATCCCGGTGTTGGAGCGTTGGTTGATGAGTTGAGGTGAGGGGTACGATGATTTTATGGTTCAGTCTATGAGCCAGGGATGTTATTGAGCAGTTGAGTTGTTTGGTACTAGATTGGTATGAGATTTGGAACGACTAGAGGCAGACGTGACGAGAAGTTCTTGAGGAGTTCATCAGAGGTTCAGAGTATATGAGGTCGATACATTTCCTTAAGGGGGATTATCGGGCGTTGTGTAGCACATTCCGGGGGTAGGTGCGATTTTGCTGGGTAAAATAGTTATTGGTTGGTTGTGTGCTATTTGGTGATGGATCAAACTCTAAGTGGGGGAGAACCGGGTGCCATATGTAAGAAAGCAGAGAATTGTCAAGAGCAGTTATAAGTGGAGTATAGAGATATGCGGTAAGAAATCATGAGACCAGAGATGTCAGTGATCGAGGAAAGGGGTCAGAGTGAGTTAATGCGGGAAGTACTTGTTTGAGAAGGATGAATGTCTCCACGACAGGTGTTTATTGGTCAGGAATCTGGCATTGGTCAGTGTTGGGGCAAGTAGATAGAGAATGTTTGGGCAGCCAACTCCCGGGTCAGTATGCGTATCCTTTTTTGGATTTTGAGCGGCGGGAAAAAGGGTTTCGGAGAATTATCAGTGTATTTCGTAACGTTAGCGTTTTTCGTACTGCAATTGAGAAATTGGATACACCGAAGTTGCAACTTGGGAAAAATGAAGATCTAATTATGGGGTTCAGAGGGAATGTATTATTGCATCTATATGGTGCTTGGGGCAGGAGATCAGTGGTTGTGGCAGGATCTTGTGATGTTCGGTGGGGGTGTTCTGAGGTATCCGGGTATTGATATCTTTATTTCGAAGTATTCGTGAATCTTGAGTTGACGAGACTTGTGGTATATCAGGTATCTATGGATCTAGTGGGAGCCCTTCGAGTATGGGCATCTAGGGAGATTATTTAAGAGAGTAGATCTTCACAAGGGTGGGCATATTGATATGTCGATTGCCTCCAGAGTCTGTGATGCACATTCGAGTCAAGTATGGGTAGATGCTTATGATATTCTGTGGAGCACGAGCTAGTGGAGTCAGAGGGTGTTGTGATACTGCGGGGAGCCGTAGTACTCACTAGTCAGAGGGTGTTGTGATACTGCGGGGAGCCGTAGTACTCACTAGTCAGAGGGTGTTGTGATATCGTGGGGAGTCGTAGTACTCACTAGATCGCAAGGGAGTGTGATGATGGAATGTTCTCCGATTAGTGTATGATGTGGAAGAGTTTTGGACTTGAGTAGCCCTAGTGTTGAGTTTTTGGAGCCTGGATGTTGGACCGGGGGCGAGACTGGGGTCCCCGTCTTTGTCGGGAAATGTGGTGAGATGCGCAAGGGATATGCGTAGCAGAAACCAGAGATCAGAGTTTTGACGATCCTCGGTTGGATTGTATTTTTCCCGCATGAGGAAAGGAGAATTTCGTGACTTGCGTGTCACTGGGCAGGGATAGTGGTCGCGGGAAAAAGTTAGTGAGATAGTTGGATCATGTTATGGGTGACCTTTGGAGGCTCAGCTGTGGAGTCAAAAGCTGACCTGGTGGTCAGTCTCGAAGAGGGATATGAGAAATGAGCTAGAGCTTATCATGATGATGTCTGAGGACACCTCAGAGGGAACGAATGATTCAGACGCTCAAAGACATGCTTCGGGCATGTGTATTAGATTTTGGAGGGAGTTGCGGCACGTATTTATCCTTGGTTGAGTTATCCTATATCAACAGCCATCATTAGTGCATTGGTATGCCACCCTTTGAGTTGTTGCATGAGAGGAGGTGTCGGACCCTCTTTTGCTGGGGAAAGTGTTGATTCGCGAAAGTGGAAGTAGTAGTGAGAATGGATGATTTGGAGTATGGTGGTCGAACACTATGTCTATGACAGTGGTATGGAATGACATCATGATGGGATGTCTGCTGAGGATGCGGAAGGGATTCCGCGGGTGTAGAGCCAAGAGTCGCAGGATGGATGCAGGGATAGAGTCTGGGACTCCCAGCTTGATTCTGATCAAGGGTTGTGTGCGTAGTGGTGGTTTCTCCTAGGGATGTTAGTGATGTCATCAGTGTGACGGGTTTTCCTAACCTGAGACTGCGAAGGTTGGTGCGGCATGGGTGTGTGATTGCAAGAAGAGGACTCATGGGAGTTGCTCTGGGATTGAAGAGTGGGTCTTTCCATCGTCACAGATTGGATAGAGTGGGATTCAGAGCGGGGATCCGATGGTTCATGGCTTCTAACCCTTATGGGTCGAGTGATTGTTGAGATTTGGGACAGAGATACTTCTTGGGTAATTCTCGGATCATCGAGTGTGGTTATCAGAGGGTACATCTGGTGCCCGTTTCGAGATAGTGGTTAGGACACCGTAAGGAAAGGGAAAGTGTGTTCGAGTTTCGATGGGTATGCCTTGTGAGACCTGGTCCGATTAAGGCCAGGTGGCACGTTGTGGAAATATTTCCGGAGTTGAGTTGCTGTAGGCTTCAAGGACGAAGCCTAATTTAAGTGGGGGAGAATTGTAACATCCCGAAATATCAAGAGTAGAGTTGAAGGGCTAAAAGAGTAAATTGGGAAAGAGTGACTCGGCGAGTCCATGTGCGGACTCGGCGAGTAGAGTCGCGACTTGGTCGCGTGTTAAGTGGCCGACTCAGCGAGTCAGTGTAATGGACTCGGCGAGTAGGCGCTGAGTGGAGAAAACCCTAATTCTCGGGGTTGAGCCTTATATAAAGATCATTATGTTTTCCTTCCAGCCTGTTTATCACCCCTTGAGCCCCAGAAAAACCCTAAATCGCGGAGAAGCACCATGGTTGAGTAAATTGGAGCTTGGAGAAGTAATTGTTGAAGGAATTTTGGGAGATTGAAGGCTTGGAGCAAGGGGCTTTGCTTGGATTCGAACTACATTGCAGCTGGGGCATCTCTTAGAGGTAATATCTCGTTATTGGACTGTTATTATGTTGTTTCTTCATTTTGGGGTTTGTGGTAATTTGTCTATGGATGTAATGGGAAGCCTAGAGGTTAGATCTGAGGTTGCTACCTCAGATCTGGAAGGGAGAAGAATCAGATAGCATGAAAGTCCCTGTGTTGGAGTGTTTAGTGAAGCTTACATGTCCCAAACCCTAGCCCAATGTGCAAACGGCTTAGATCTCTTTGGATTCACGTAAAGTTTGCCACGTTACATGATGGATGAGTGGTAGGAGACTAGATCTATGTTTTGGATCAATTGCATGGCCTGGAGTGCTTCTGAATGGATTCAGACCGGTGGTACTCGGCGAGTCACATGGGTGGACTCGACGAGTTGGATGAAGATGGCTTGGAACTCGGGGAGTTGTATGAACAACTCGGTGAGTAGGTTGAAGATAGCCGTAGACTCGGCGAGTCTGTTCTTGGACTCGATGAGTCTTGTCGAAGAGTCCCAAATAATCTCTGGTTGAGTCGAGAATCGGTGAGTCGAGGGACGACTCGGTGAGTTGTGTGCAAGTGGACTCAGAGTTGTTGGACTCGGCGAGTCTCAGGGTGACTCGGCGAGTTAGGTCGCGGATTGAGTGAAGTTCTGATTATGGGAACTCGACGAGTCACAGGGTTGACTCGGCGAGTAGGGTCAGTCAGGGGTTGACCTTGACTGAGGACTTTGATTTGGACCAAGGGTTGAACGTTGACTTTTAGGGATTGGACGGCGATGTGGCATTTGGGCCAAGAGAGGGGTAAAATAGTCTTTTACCCTTAAGAGGGTGCCATGAGAGGATTGATTCTAGTCTCGAGAGTTATATTAATGAGAGTTTTTGCCTTACGTGTTAGGCGGTGGCGAGTTCGAGATTTAAGTGTGGGGATATCTACTTTCTGCTTGTCAGGTGAGTCTTCTCACTATACTTTACCTTGAGTAGGCAACCAGAGTTATGTGATAGAGTATTTTTGTGCTATGTATGTTATGTGTTGTACTGCATTATTTCTACGTGATTTATGTTGTGCATGTTTACAGAGTTAGAACCTGAGGGTTCACAGAGTTTGGGTGCATGGACCCATAGAGTTATAGCCTCGAGTGGCTAATATGTGTTATATGTGGTATTTTGGGGAACTCACTAAGCTTCGTGCTTACAGTGTTTTGTGTGATGTTTTTTTTAGGTTTCTTTCAGTATCACGGGACGGCACCGGCTTGATTGTACACATCAGAGAAAGAGTCATATTTTGGAGGATCGTGGTTTTCTATGCAAGTGAAAATGGAGTTATGTTTTGTAAATCGACTATTAATGAGATTTTAAACAAGTGTTTCTAAGAATAAAATGATTATTTTAAATGAAAATTTTGTCTTGAAATTTACGGTGTTACACTCACAAGTGATTTAACCTCAGCATCACTAAGCTCTCCATCCTTCGCAAATTGTTGAAGGTTTTGATGGTATATTTCTAAAAAAGATAAGTAAGAATAAGAGCATTACAAAACGTTGTAAACATGTTTTAAAATAACATATACAAAAAAGCATTTTAGCAACATATACATACGTTAATGGATCTCAATGGTTTTTTCAGTATCAAAGTGCAATTCATCACAAAGATTTGAAGGAATGTTGCTTTACTATCTGCAACTTCCAAAGCACCCTCGGTTACAGATTCCGCAAGGCATTTACGGTATACTTTAGAGGTAACATCTATTGCAATTAATTATGCCTCCTTTTTACCCAAACCAAATATATTCCTCAAATGACCCAATGCAACAAGGTATACAAGTATAGAACATAACAAAACAAAAAACATTAACATAGACCCTCAAATCATCTAAGGCAAAAGTCAAAAGTTTGATTTAACCTATATAAATGGAATCCAAAAATGGAAAATTATGATTTTGTACCTTGGTGTTTTCCATATAAACAGTTGATAGAGAATCAACAATGTATGCTCTGTAGAGGAGTTTTAGATCATCCATTTTTGTATCACCATCATACTCACCACCTATACAAAAAGTAATAATATTGGAATGCTAGAAAATAAATGAAGATATTATATGGAAAATAAATTGTGATGAGTGAGATTGAGAGTATACAGTAACTATTATAGAAATTGGGCTCACCCCACGAGCAAAACGATTAGCATCGGGACGATTGTTTAATGAGACAAGTGAGTTATTAAATGCCAAAATTTTCTCGAGTTCCTCAACAATGAGCTTGACATCCCTTCTGAAAAATATAATATATTTTACAAGTCATGAAAACTGTTTGATTATTAGTCATACGTCATATTCGATAAGAGGCCCGTTTTAAAGATTTTATCATGATATTTTTTGTATAAAATATGTTTGGCCTATTGTTGATAAATATAAAAAAAAATTATATGAAGTGATCAAAATATGATATTGATAAAAATGTATGTTCTAATAAGGTGCCAAGATCACATACGTTTTTCATGTCCTGGACTTGAGTACATTCACACTTGTTGTAATGTTTGCTTCAATAACCTTTCTGATATTATCACTAAACATATCTACAGCTAGATGCAATAAATCCAAACCAACAACTAAAAAACTACAATTACTTATAGAATATTAAGTTGTTTATTCTCTTTGAAATGTGTACCTCATCTGAAAGCTAACACTGTAGTTGTGCATCTCTCAAACTAAAAAGATCTTCCGGATTAACATTATGCATGCATCAAAAGCACAAATAAAAAGTTAAAAACCAATACCAAATTGTGATTCACTAGTTAATATGACTAGTATTTAAGAGCACAAATGAGTGCATTAAGTAAAAAAAGAAACATGCATTTACCTTAGGTGATTAATTTTACCTTGGAATCATATAAGCGTTGTGCATTGTCACGTATAACAACCTCAACCCGTGATTCAGTAACTTTGAACACATGTTTCCAAGGTAAAAGAAAGCCATAAGCTTCTCCAAATACAAATGTTGAAACATAAATCAGCTTCTGAAATGTCTACACTGGAGACCATAACAATGATCAAGCTCTATATCTCATTTACTATACTAATTTCAATTTATTTAAAAAAAAACCTACCCGACGTTGTTCTGCATCTGCTTCACGATCACCGGTTTCTAACCTTTGCGTGAAGATATGCCTACCAATCTATTCAACAAACACACACACCAAAAAAAATCAATGAAGAGAAACATGTGTGGAAGTAAAGAACTTTTCACCTATTAAGGCATCAATAGACCATATTGTAATTGTAGTAATACCTCCATAAGCATGCTAGCTACATCAGAATCATCAATACCCAATTTAACTTACTATGATTACTAATGGGCCAAAAAAAGTAGACAGGGACTGAAACTTTATGGGACAGCCCAAAATGTCCAGTTTTACATTTTTTAGGAAAATGAAATTCCATGACTAAAATTAGATTTAGGGAGCAGTAGATTTAGAATACTACTTTAATGCCAATGAATTTCATGAGAAGAACCATACCATCAACCGGAATTTTTAAGATTTCAGCAGCAGAAAAGTCAGGGGCAAAACCGTCAATGCACCAGGGGACCATCATCCTTCGAAATTTTTAAGATTTCAGCAGTAGAAAAGTTAGGGGCAAAATAGGGGAAAAACCGTCAGTGCACCAGGGGACCCATCATCCTTCTTTTCCTTTTCCTTTGATGAATCTGATTGTTTTAGATCAGATTTACCTGTAGAGATAATATTTAAAACAAAATATATCAAAATTTTAGTAAGTTATAACTTATAATAATAAATAAAGAGAAATTTGATATCCCAATTCGTTATTAAACTATTAAGATTCATATCTGTAACATTTTTTTATCTAAAGATTTAACAGTTTAAAGTTCAAAAAAAAGGTGATTAGCTTAAATAGTTAGCAACTCTGCAGTACCAGATCTGTTGACTCGGAAGAAAAAAATCAAAGATATCCAAGAATTTAAGATCAAACCTATTGTCTATGTCGCTCTTTAGCAACAAAATGTCAAGTAAAGTGCTTAAAAATGTGAGCTTGCTGCATCAGGTATGGCCCGCATCATCAGGTTTCAAATGGGTTGTTACCTTCTTTTTCTTTTTTCCATGTGGGTTACTAGTTAATGGACTTGACTTTTCCAAGACGTAATCAAGCATGTAATGTACCATTGATGTGGAAACCTGTAGATTTGACCCAAGATGGATGTACATGATTCCTAAAATAAACTTAAGCTCCATGATTCCTGAGATGAAACCTAATAATTTCGAAATTCTAAACCAGTTGTAGACTTTGTTGCAGCTATAATACTAATGTTACCTTATTACATCATTATATAGTTTTATTACAACTTTCAATTTTTTCTACATTAAATGAAGAATTCAATCGGTTGTTTTAATGTTGAAACTTGAGCGTATGTCTAAGCTCCCTATTTTGAGGACATCAGTATAGAGAGTGTAATGAAATAATTGATGCAAAGATGTATTACAACAACCTTTATACTCTCAAAGTTGTATTCCATCTCTAACATCATACTCAGTATTGCCACAATTGGAACAGGAGAAGGGGCAAAATTCTCCAATGGAGAATCAGAGTGACCCATAGGAATATTGCCACCATAACAAGGAGAGGGTAATCGTGCATCCGATGAAGCACAAAGTAACATTGGTGATGGTGAAGGTATGGAAATAAAACAGCAAAAAACAGAAACCCTAACCGACCTTGGTCGTTAAGATGATGGGGGAGCTTTTCCCTTGACACAACACCCTTCATGGTATCAAGCTCAATCTCAGCAGCCCTACAATTTACCATAATCTGATCCAAATCTCTCTCGTCCTCCATAGAATCGTCCAACCCAACCGACGTTCATAGCCATTTCTGTTTATTTCCATCTCGAAATCATAAATTATGTTTCGACAAAAGTGTCAAATTTAACATGAGAGTCTGGGGAGGTTTCAAGAAGAACAGAGCAGAAGCAACAATGCAAAAGATAACATTAGGTATCGAGGGCTAATCGAGTTCGATTAAAAAGGTTATAAAACTCGTAATAAAGGAAGACAAACCTCTGGAACAAATAAAGAAGCAGAATGTTGTTGGTGATTAACCATGGAGTTTCGAGACCTTGCATATAATGGAGCTGTTGTCCTACTTGATATGGAAATTACGATAAAATGTGTAGTTGTGATACAACTCTTCTATTGATAGAGAGGCTGAGAACGTACTTGAAGAATTGATAATCGAGACAAGTAGATGGAGGGTTATAAACCGAAACCCTAGTTCTAACAATAGTCGTGGTTCCAACAATTGTACCCTTTGATTTCAATTTCATGGACTAGTGACCAAAAAACCTTCGATTTCACTAAGAACAGGAACCTTAGTTCCAACAATAGTCGATTTTAGGTATTTGATTGTGTGTGAGAGAGAGAAAAACGATTGAAAGAAGGTAGAGGAGAGCATGGCGGCTTTTCAAACTTTTGGAATTTCATTTCCCCCGCGAGCTTCTAAAACGCGTGTTTATGAATATATATATATATATATATATATATATATATATATATATATATATATATATATATATGTAAAGCGACGTGCGCACACAACACACATTATATCATATGCGCCCTCCGTTTTTTTACACAAATTTTAGGGCACGCACAAATGTGTGTCCTCTATCCTCCAAATTTTATAAGAGATGACTTTATTTTTAGGACGCACGCTTTTGCGTATCGTAAATCACCGTGTGTCATTGTTTGCGCGTCATTAAAGGCAGTTTTTCAAATAGTGTATAGATTGGGTAATTCCATACATCACTCTTCATTTCATCTTGACAACATCCCACCATAACTTTAATTTCTTTTTCATAGAGGGGTATGGTGTATAATACACTTGTTCCACTTGTGATGCAAAGATAAATGCATCGTAAGTTTGAATTCAAGGCGTATGTTTGATATCAACCAATTTATGTTTGTTAACTTTTATTCCGTGGACATTACCAAACCAAGTACATTTGAATAATACAACAACACAACCCTCACGTCCACAATAATCAAGCTCTAGTATCTCATCCAAAAATCTGTAGTAGTTGCAGTCTGGTCAGTTATAAGCCATCCCCTACACACATACTACACAGTGATTTTTCACACGTCCATCACCATGGCTACGTGTGTGGAACTTATAACCATTCACAAAGTGCCCTTTATACAATTGAGCGTATTGTGTTGGTCTGATTTCTAGAACTTCCAAATGTTTACTACTATCGTCTGAATCAATCATTACCTACATTGAGGATTACATATTAATGGTGTTGCTAATGTTTAAGTAATATTAACAGATATGATTTAATTTGTTTGACTTACATGATGTTGGAACCATTCAACAAAGAGATGATCTCTAAGACTCTCAAGAGGCTCACTCGGATAATGCTTAAGCACCTTTTTTTCAAAACGGGGAGGCAGTGTGGGGAGAAATGAAAAGAAGATATTGGAACAATAATTTAGAAAAGATGATGGAAGTAGGAGTTCATTTTGGCCATGGTACTAAGAAATGGAATCCTAAAATGGCACCTTATATCTCTACAAAACATAAAGGTATTCATATTACAAATCTTACTAGAAGTGCTCGTTTTTTTTATCAGAAGCTTGTGATTTGGTTTTTGATGCAACAAACACAGGGAAAAAATTCTTATTTGTTGGCACTAAAAATAAAGAAGTTGATTCAGTAGAATGGGCTGCAATAAGGGCTCAGTGTCATTATGTTAATAAAAAATGGCTCGCTGGTATGTTACGAATTGGACCATGTTAATGTAAGGGTAAACTTCTTGACAATTTGAGAGGATATAGGTGTGAGTCTTGTGAAGGTCTACATCGCCTATGCATATTCAAATCCAACCTTTTTCATATAATCTTTGAGATGGAAAAATAAACACATTTAGTTGAGTGTATGTATTTGAAGAGCTAGGATGTTCTGGTGCAAAATTCCGGGCTTCTCGATTATGGCGTGTCTCAATCGTCAGCTCAAAGTATAAAGAACAGTAGGCAGAGAGTTCATTTAGAAGATATGACTCGACGTTTGAAACTTCAACCTTTTTGTTTCTATGTGTTCTTTTTAGCAATCCTAACTTCCTACATTTAGAAATTAATGGGAGTGTGTTAAGGGTATAAAACATATTATTGAAAAACATATAAAACTACAAAGAATGCTATTACCTATCGAATAGATAAATCCATATATACTGCACAAGGCCACAAATTATAGTCTCATGGACTAATTGTATGACCAGGTATTCCATAGAATCGAAGAAATTAGTGTGAAAGATTTTTTCCATCTTGCAAACGGTTTGAAAAACTGTTTGTTGCATTTTATCCAAGTCATCTAGAGGTAATGTTTTCAAGCATATAACCCGAAAAATCGTGCAAATCTTTGTTATGGTGTCATATAACTCTTCAGAAACAAAGCCTGTTATAGAAATTGGAAGCAAGCGTTGCATAAAGACATGACAATCATAACTTTTGAAAGCATAAAAACTATCATCTGTAGTATTTACACAGTTCCCTATGTTTGAAGCATACCCATCAAGAAATTCGGTACTCCTTACATAACACTCATATAATTCTAAAAAATTGTAAACTTTAAAAAAATTACTCAAAAACCATCATTGTTTGGAAATTGTTTTCAAAATAAGCTCACCATCATATAAATCCCAAAATCATATAATAAAATATGAGGAGGTGCACAATCACACCTTCGCCTTCCTACGATCCTCTAAAGTACCTTACACATAATCGAAAACTGTAAGCCCAAAGCTTAGTGAGTTCCCCTAAAATACCAATACATATCAAACGACACAAATATAATAACAACATGGAATGGGTCCATATCTAACAAAATGGATTGCCCCTGAGCCCAAAAAATAAGTTTGGCTTGACCCCTAAACCCACAACATAAGTTTGGCTTGCCCCCTGGGCCCACAACTTATGTTTTGCTTGCTCCCTGACTCTCAGTACATTTCTGGCATGACCTACCTGGCCCTCAGTTCATATTTGGAATACTCATGAACCCTTGGTATGAGTTTCGCATGCCCTTCCTAGCCCTCACCTCATATCTGGTACGCTCCAAGGTTTTTGGCTACATCATGGAGCAGTACAACCTCAACCCAACCCATACCATATGTTGATATATAACAGATAATATCATATTCATATAACAGGAATTATCATAGGTAGTCCTATAGATCTACCAAACTAGCATATCAAAACTAGCATGCATATCTACTCCATACTCAGCATATACTATTAGGTTATCAAACCAATGGGCCGGCCTTGGTGCCTTTGACCCGAAAGTATAGTGAGGAAGACTCACCTCTCAAGTAGTGCAGAACTTATTAGGTATGACTCCAAATCTCAGCTCCCGACACAAATGCCTACAACAACCACGCGACCAATTCCATCAAAATCCAAAAATACCAAAATGCCCTCAAAAGTCAAACTTGGTAAACCATGATAAAACACAAAGTCAATAGTCAAGGTCAACAACCCATGTTGACCCAACTCGTCGAATGAACCAATAAACACGCTGTGTTTCTATAGGAATCAGATGGTTAGGAAAATCCCATCAACCACGCGGTGTTGGCTTGCAAACATGTTGTGTTTGCCCGAGCTTAATACATTCAGTTGTTCATACGATTCCAGGGACTCCAAGACTCAGATCTAAACTCAAATGCTATCAAAATGGAGAAAGTTTCAAACTTTATCCTTTGGGGCTACTTCAAGTGTTCAAAAACCCATCCACAAATCTTGAAGATTAAAGGGCTTAACCAATAAGCACAAAATCCTTGAGATTTGAAACGCAACCTTTTCAGAAGAGATTCTAGCATCAAAATCAACCTAAAGGTTGGTGCCTTTTAGACATGCATGTCTAATGCATGACTTGAGCCCAAAATGGGTTAAAAAGGGAAAATATCACATAAACTCCATGCATGGCATCAAAATTTAGCTAAAGGCTAGATCTAAACCACTACAAGGTCATCTTGACCTAGAGATTCATAAAGTTGCAATCTTTATGAGATCTATCTATTTCAACATCCAAGAATAAGGAGAAAAAGGGACAAAAATCAAGATCTAGCTACATAGAGTAATAAAAATCAGATCTTTGACACTTACAAATGTCCGGAAGAGTACCAAACTGAAGATTAGAGCTTTGCTTGCTAGATCCTTGCTTCTTTCTTCCAAATTCCTTCTTCTTTCACTCCAAAATACCACACTAGCTCACAAATGAGAGCGAAGAATGATTAGGGTTCACAAGGGCTGATGTGGGATTTCTCATCTAGCCACCAACACGGTCAGATGCAATGGAGACCGGAACTTAAGTGGATTATATAAGGTGCAGAACCCTAAAATTTAGGGTTTCTCATCTAGCCACCAACACGCCGAGTGGACCTCGCTAATACGTCGTATTGGTCCATAAAAATAAGCGACCCAAAAGTCCTTCAAAACGCCATGATGAGGCTTTCACCACCACGTGCTACAATAGAAAAAGAACATAAAAGATTAATTCTCATACCTGGAAGTCGGGATGTTACAACTCTCCTCGACTTCGACTAGGCTTCTTCCCCGAAGCCTGTTACGGTGAACAAATTCGGATAATGCTCCTGCATCCCAGCCTCCGACT